CGGCTGTGGCACCCGCCTGTGGCGCCGCTCAGCCCGATGCCGCTCTCGCAGGGTGAGAGCTTCCTGCACTGCTTCGAAGCGTCGCCCTCGCCGCCCGCCCTGACTCAGGGTAAGTGGGAGGCGCGTGCCCGCGTGCAGGGCGCTGCGGAGCCCACGCCGCTCAGGTCACCCTCCTACCCGCAGTGAGCCAGTGCGTGACGGAGGGGCGGACGCGCGGCCTGGCCCTCGTGCCCAAGCTGGCGCTGGACGTCATGGCCTGCGAGGTGCTCCGCGCGCTGCAGCTCACTGACGGCTTCCTCGTGCCCATCAGCTACGTGGTCCCTCGCAAGGTGAGAGGGTACAGGGGGCAGCTCCGTCCCCGCTGTGCCGCAGGGCGCTGGGGGCGCTGGGGGAGACGCGCTCCCCCTGCTGTGGATCTGGGAGCCGGCTGCCCACTGCGCACACAGCACCTTGGCTCTTCCCAGCGCTTGCATCTCCTCCGTAGCAAACTTGGGAGCCAAAAATAAAAAAAAAATGTGTAAGGCGGGGCAGGGGGTGGTTCAGCCAACAGCAAAAATACCCTTTTCTGTAAACAGACACTGTTGTGGAAAAAGTGGCGTTTAAAAAAAGCCATGGAGCGTAAGCGCTGCTGCGGGAAGGCCATGGGGCAGCCAGGGTTCAGGCAGCCCGGCCACGACTCCGGCTGGGCACCGCGGGCACCACACGCCCACAGCAGCCACTGCTGCTCCCGGGGGAAACCGAGGCTTGAGGTGGTGGCTGCAGCACCGGGGGGCTGCTTGCCCAGCAAGGCTCCACTGGGGCTGGTCACCGCATCCCCAGCACTCCGTAGGGACAGGAGCGGCCCCGCCAAGCCAGGCGGCGTCCCCCAGGCTGCCCAAAACCACCCCGTGAGCAGGGCCAGATGAGAACTCAGCCCTGGGCCCTGCCGTGGGTGCCACCGAGGGCCCCTCCTCGGTGGCAGGCTGGGGATCCCAGTGCCATGCCATGGTGCTCATCTCGCTGGCCCTGGCAAGGGGACCCCATTCCAGGCAGGAGACGGGAAAGAGCTGGGTGCTGCCTGTAGCACAGCGGGTGCGTGGGAGTGGATGCGCCCACTGCGTGGTGGGCGCTGGGGTTGGGGAATGGGGGGGGG